AAAAAAACCAGGATGAATTAAGACACTTTCAGTTCCAGGTTATATAAACTGAATTTGAAGTAATTCAAGCAAATTAGATAGGGCAGGGTACCTATGTGTGGGAAGAGAAAAGGCTCCTACACCATTCAACTTCTATTTTCTTTTCACCTATTTTCTTTCATTTTGGATGAAAGCCAAAGCTGAGGTTTGAACTTCATGCTTGCTAGGCAGGTGCTCTACCTCTGGGACATACTTGCAGCTCATCTGCTGTCTTCTGAATGTTGCCCTGAGCAGGGTGGCTGTCTCCTGCCTGAGATAGGAGAGCCTGGCTTCTGTGGTCATTCCAGTTAGACAAATCCTGGAGAAGGACTGCAGTTAGCCCAGGTTGAGTCATGGGCCTGGCTCATGCTCAGTTACAGCAGCCTGGTGGGATGGGGTGTGGGCTAACCTAGCTGGCCCCATCCAAATTTTACTAAACTGGAATCTCTGGGGTCTGTATTCTTGTCACGCATCTGTCAAAACCAGACGTCAGCAAGATGTCAAAACCACTGGTTGAACTAAGTGTTTTCAAAGGCACCCCTCTCATTTGCCATCTACCCTACCCTCAAAATAATCATGTCAACATTGACTGATCTTTAGGAAGTACTTTTTTGCCTGAATTACCATGTGCTACGACTTCAAATCATTACTAAAATTAAACATCAAGTTTATTAGAACCCCCTATAAAAACTTGTTATGGACACCCACAATCCCATCCAGATTCATTTTTCTACTTGTTCCCAGCCTCCCCATCCTGGACAACCCATTGTTGACACTCCCTTGCAACCTGCTCTTCTCCCTCCTCTTTCTTCCTTTTCTCCTTCTTCCCTGGGGAAGGAACTCAGGCCCCTCACCTGTTCTAAGCAGTACTCATTTAACTCATCTAACCCCTAGTGAACTTTTTCAGGGCTATGTAACTTTCTGCCTGGCTTAGAAATATGTGTCCCATCTCTTGATTGATTACATTATAGCACCAAGAACACCTGCAGCTAATATTTTTTAGCATTCTTTCCAGCAGCACAACTAGCTTATTGGAATAAATCACTCAATGAGTAAGGCAGCTGGGCGCTGGTGGCTCACGCCTGTAATCCTAGCTACTCAGGAGGCTGAGATCTGAGGATAACGGTTCAAAGCCAGCCTGGGAAGGAAAGTCTGTGAGACTCTTATCTCTAATAAACCACTAGGAAACTGGAAGTGGTGCTGTGGCTCAAGCAGTAGAGCATTTGCCTTGAGCTTGAGAGCACAGGGACAGTGCCCAAGCCCAGAGTTCAAGCACCATGACCAAAAAAAAAAGAGTAAGACAGTAGGCCTTCCCAGACTTTACTGTATTGGAGATAGGATAGGAATTGTAGAATTCACAAAGACATAAGAAGTGTTACAGATAGTATGTGAAAAGCACTATGGGTAAGAGACAGGTGAATCCTCTATCACTTCTGGGTCATAGGAATGCAAAAGGAGATGAGAAACCACAACCCATTTCTTTTGGAATAGTTTTCAACTAGACATCCTATTAAGGTCAAAGCAAAGCCTTTAACTGCAGTCCATCAGAAGGCGCCAAAGTGGTTATCCAGCTTCCTGCCCACTTTTTACAAACAGAGAAATAGTCTTCCTGTGAGTCAGAGATGTTATAGATAAATATTGGGTCCAGCAGGGCCATCTGCCTCTCACCTATCAGCAGACACAGCTGCCACTCCTGCTTTGAAGTGGCTTCTTGAACTTAACCTTACCTGTGGGTTTGTTTGTTTGTTTGTTTGTAAGATAAGAACATCTGACAAGACCAAGAAAAGGATGAGCCACTTGCACGATCACTTGAAAAAAAAGTTCATAACAGAGCAGCAGCGTAAGCTGGGGAACTGGAGACAGGAGTCCCTGGACATCCAGCAGTACTTGGACAGCCTGCGGGTTCACGAGGCGCAACTCCAGTCTCGCAAGGCAAACCAACCTCCCTAGTTATGACCTTTGAGAATCACAAGTCAGACCCAAGAAGAACTTGAAAGGAGCCAAGCCACACCATCAGAACAATGAAACAAGACCAATAGACAGTGGAACATAAACAGCCTCAGCAGTTCTAATTGTCTGTGTCTTCTAATATCTCCTGTCCTCTAGCCTAAAAAGTCCTGATTGATAGTCCCTTGGATGCTCAGGCAAGAGGCTGAATCAAGCCAGCCTCCAAGATTTGGGCAAAGATGAACCTTTCTCCCCCCCTCCCCCCCGCCCTCTCCTCCTTCCCTTCCCTTTCTTTCCCTTCCTAGGAATTGAACCCAAGACCTTGCATATTCTCAGCCCAGCACATGTTCTACCACTGACCTATTAGTCCTAGGGCTTAACTCAGGGCCTGGGCACTGTTCTGAGGGTTTTTTCCCTGAAGGTTAGTGCTCTACTACTTGACCCATAACTCCACTTCTGTCTTTTTCTGGTGCTTAATTGAAGATAAGAGTTTCACAGACTTTCCTGTATAGGGTGGCTTCAATCTGGAATCCTCAGATTTTCTGAGGAGTTAGGATTTACAGGTGTGAGCTACTGATGCCCAGCTGTATTTTGTTGTTGTTGTTGTTGGTTGTGGGGCTTGAACTCTGGGCCTGAGCGTTGTCCCTCAGCTCTTCAGCTCAAGGCTAATGCTCCACCACTTGATCCACAGTGCCACTTCCAGTGTTTCTGGTGGTTTATTGACTTTGTACATTTATTTTTAAGTTAGAAGAATCACATTTTAGCCAGGTACCAATGGCTCATACACACCTGTAATCCTTGCTACTCAGGAGGCTGAGATCTGAGGATCACTGTTCAAAGCCAGCCCAGGCAGGAAAGTCTGTGAGTCTCTTCATCTCCAGTGAACCACCAGGAAACTGGAAGTGGCTCTGTGGCTCAAGTGGTAGACCTCTTGCTTGAGCTGAAAAGCTCAGGTACAGTGCCCAGGCCCAAAGTTCAAGTCCTACAACCACCACAAACAAACAAACAAAAAACCTAACCCCCCCACCCCCGTTTTACAGATGAGGACCAGAAAGGTAGCTTGACTTTGCCCACAGTCACACAGAAAATTAGTAGTAGAGAACTAAAACCAGGTGTGTGTCCTGACTCCTGTGATGATTCTGCATCAGGACAGCTGCTTGGGGAGGACCTCGGTCCTCCAGGTAGCCATTGGAAGCTGTCTTCATAAGTTCTCATTCTCCTCCCCGGCATTGCCTCCTGCTGCTTGGCACCATTCAGCTGGTGTTCTCAGCTATTCCAGAGCCCTGAAGGGTCAGATCAGGAGTGGAAAGGCAGACACATGTTCATGATGCTTGATTTCCCCCTTTATGGACTTTCTTTGAGAACTAGAGGCTGCTACTTTTTAGTGAGAGCTCAAACTCCTCCCCCCCCCCGCCCTTTCTATTTGAATTCAGAACCTTGTGCTTCTGAGGCTCTACTACTTGAGTCACACCCCAAGACCAGACCTTTGATGGTTATTTTGGAGATGAAACCTGGGGAACTCGTCTGCCTGGGCTGGCCTCTAATCACAAGCTTCCAGATCTTAGCCCCTTAAAGACTGCAGGTGTGAACCACCAGTGCTCAGCTTCTGTCACTTTTCATTCATCCCTAACATAAAGCATCCAGTTTTTCAGCTTTAAAAAATTATGTGTATTGGGCCACAGCTTTGTCCCATAGCCCACAGCGACACCCACTGGTGCCTCTTGATAAATGACGTGCAGAAGAGATGGTTATTGTTGGGCCTCTCCATCTGGTGGCCAGACCAAACATAATCCCCAGGGTAACCACTGCAAGAGGCAACCATCTAGGTGGTAGGACCCCCTGAGTCCTGTCACTAGACCAGCAGGAAAGGACATTGCTAGCTAGCACCCAGATGAGAACACTTTGGCCTCTCATTTCAGTCTTTTTCTTTATCTGCCCCTGTGTTCTGTGTCCTGGGCTCAATCTTCAGCACTTCTCTTCGAATGAGGACAAGGGAAGGGGGAGGCACAGAATTTCCCTCCAGGCCTTTTCACTAGATCTGCTGTTTAACTGAAGCCCAGGTAGTCACATAGACTCTTTAATTCCCTCCAGAAGCATCTTCCTGAGAGAACTGGTAGAAACTGGCCCCAAATCAGCTGAATTAATCAGATGAGTTAAAGAAAGTCCAAATGGTCTTCTAGATTAGTAAAAAATAAAAAAATCTAACTGGTGGTGCCATGTACACTGGCAAGATGCCACAACAGCTATTTATTTATCCTTAAGATACACTGTACGGTTTATTCTACATAAAGTTCCAAAATGTACAGCAACTGCCCACCCCCGCCCACCTTTAAAGGTCTTCACTGAAGCAGTCAAGTAAAATTGGTGGCAGAACACCATGCCTCCACTAAGCTTGACTCCCTTCCCCTGTGTTTCCTATCATATGCTGAAAAATGTCACTGGGGGAGGAAGGATAGAACCACAGAGGCTGCTGCACATCATGGCATGCACATAGCACAGCAAACACACTCCATGGCCAGTGAGAAAGGAAAAAAAAAGTAAAAGGAGGCAGAGGAAGTAGAAAGGGTCTCACTTTTCCCTTCAAGACCATATATCCACCCCCCACCCATGACCTAAAGACCTCTCACTAGGCCCCACCTCTTAAAGGCTTCATTGTCTTTAAATAGTACCTCTTTGTAGACCAGACTTTTGATAACAGGCCTTTAAGGGGACAGAAACAGACAAATGATCTTTCTCCAGGCATTCCTTGGCTCTTTATGGAGTGTAGAGCCAGAAGGGGCAGATGGAACCCTTCCTTGGCAACCAAGAATGAAAGATTCCTCAGAAATAAGAAAATATATCTGTGTCTTACTAATGTTCTGTCTTTTAGAGCACTTACTATGTTCTGTATGCATTGTTCTCTAACCATAACATGTTATATGTGGGAAATAATTTCAGTTATGTAGTACTGTGGTTTGATCTCAAGAGGTTTGAACTCAAGGCCCTGTACTTGCTAGGCAAGCACTTTACCACTTGAGCCATGTCCCCAGTTGTTTTGTTCCAGGTTTTAGTTTGTTTTTATGTGCTGGTCCTGAGGCTTGAACTCAGGGTCTGGACACTATCCTTGAACTTTTTTGCTCAAAACTGGCTCTCTACCACTGGAGTTGCAGTTCCACTTCTGGCTTTTTGGTGGTTAATTTGAGATAGGGATCTCACAGACTTTCCTGCTCAGACTGGCTTTGAACTGCAACCCTCAGATTTCAGCCGGAGTAACTAGGATTACAGGTGTGAACCATCAGCACCCAGCTTTGGTTTGTTTTAGATCAGGTGTCACACTGACTCAGACTGGCCTTTGACCATGATCCATCCTCTTACCTCCTGTATAGCTTAGATTTTAGGTGTGTAACATGACTGGCTTTGTGGTAGATTTTTTATTAAGGGGATCTCCTTGGCATTCTCAGATATGAACCAGGCACTGTCTTTTCCTCTTGAAAAATATTTATTCTAGCTGGGTGCCGGTGGCTCACATCTGTAATCCTAGCTATTCAGGAGGCTGAGATCTAAGGATTGTGGTTCAAAGCCAGCCTGGGCAGGAAAGTCCATGAGACTCTTATCTCCAATAAAAATCACTAGAAAACCAGAAGTGGCACTGTGGCTCAAGTGGTAGAGCACTTGCCTTGAGCTGAAGAGCGCAGGGACAGCGCCCAAGCCCAGAGTTCAAGAAGAAAAATATTTATTTTATAAGAGTAAAAGTCACAAAAAAATAGCAGGATAAAAGTTACATCATATCTGCCAGAAGAATTTTATGTGAAGAAATCAAGTATCTATACAAAATCCAAAGGTACTGGATAAGAATTCCAGGTAATGGGGCTGGGAAGGTGGCTCAGTGGTAGAGCGCTTGCCTTGCATGCGTGAGGCCCTGGGTTTGATTCCTCAGCACCACATAAGCAAAAAGAAAAAAGCCAGAAGTGGTGCTGTGGCTCAAGTGGTAGAGCGCTAGCCTTGAGCTGAAGAGCTGAGGGACAGCGCCCAGGCCCAGAGTTCAGGCCCCATGACCGGACCCCACCAGGTAATGTGTAATATGGGGCTGGGAATGTGGCTTAGTGGTAGCATGCTTGCCTAGCATGCATGAAGCCCTAGGTTCCTCAGTACCACATAAAAAGGAAAAGCTGGAAGTGGCACTGTGGCTAAAGTGGTAGAGCACTAGCCTTGAGCAAAAGAAGTTCAGTGGCAGTGCCCAGCCCCTGAGTTCAAGCCCCAGGACTGGCAAAATAAATGTCTAATATCCGAGTCCTCCTGGAAATGTCTGTCACTCCATGGTAGAGCTCTGGCCTACCATGTGTAAGGCCCTAGGTTCCAGACACCAGCACAACACATCCACCCTCAAACCCACAAACATAATAGGAAAAAAATCTCCCAGTCTAGCATGTCCCAAGGTCCTAAGTGCAAGAACACAAAAAGTTCTTTTTACAAAAATAGTCTTAAAAGGTACGGAGGCTGATGCCTGTAATCCCAGCTCTCTGGAGGCAGAGATAGCAAGATCAAGCTCCAAAGCAGCCTGGATGTGGGTATGGATGTTCACCAGCAGAAGCACACAGGAGTCCAGATCCTGGAGCTCTGGGGGGTCTCCTGAAGCCGTTGGCAGCTTTCCTGTAGAAACTTCTCATGGAACTCTGAAGATGAGCTGGGGACATTTAGCAGGGTCCTCCAGTGAAGTAAGAAAGCATCATGGGCTGGGAAGTTGGCTCAGTGGTAGAGTGCTTGCCTTGCATGCCTGAGGCCCTGGGTTCAATTCCTCAGTACCACATAAGCAAAAAGAAAAAAGCCGGAAGTGGTGCTGTGGCTCAAGTGGTACAGCGCTAGCCTTGAGCTGAAGAGCTGAGGGACAGCGCCCAGGCCCAGAGTTGAGGCCCCACGACCGGAAAAAAAAAAAAAAAAAAAAGAAAGCATCATGAAGGACCCACCGAGTGGACCAGGTACTCTTGTAAGTGCTGCAAATCAGTGAACAGACAGACTGCAATTCTCTGCCCTCATGGAGTTGACGTTTGAGCATTACCAGGGAGAAAATAAAAGGAATCAGATGAAAACCCTGGGTGTTGGGGGTCTGGGGCCTCTGGCCGGAAGGTGCAGGGCTCCTTTGGGCTTTCTAGGGAGAATCTGCTTGAATAGCAATTGCCCATTCAACATTTGGGCCACTGAAAATGATGGCTTCAGCCTGCAGGCCATGTGTCCTCGTCCCTCCCTGCCGCAGAGAGGCTCATTTATCTGGTATCTGTGGATATCAGGTTTTGTTGCCTCCTGACAGTGCCAAGCTGGGGAAAAGTCCTGTAACAGATGGGTCTTTAGGGGGGATCCTAACCCTATTCTTTTCCCTACACAGACTTCCCTGTATCCTTTTGTATCAAGTCAGCTTATGTAAGCAGGGACTTGCACAGAATCTGGAGCTGTGGGAAATGCTGCTGTAGTCTGTTCCCCTAGCCTGTTCTTTACTCCTTTGCAAGTACAGATGACATTTCTCCTACCAGGTAAAACAAAGCAAAAGTCTTCTCTAAGGAGTTGGAATGATAAGCCAGGTGTTAGTGGCTCATACCTACAGTCCTAGCTAATTCAGGAGTTTGAGCTCTAAGATGCTTATCTCCAGTTACCTAGCAAAAGCCAGAAGTGGAGGTGTGGCTCAAGTAGTAGGGCACCAGCCTTGTGCAAAAAAGGTGCCTCAAGTTCAAGCCCCATTATTGGGATGGACACACACACACACACACACACACACACACACACACACACACAGATGCAGGAGGGCATGACTCAAACCCAAGTACCACCAAAAAGTAAACAAAAACAAGTAGAGTGCCAACCAGTGAGCAAACGCTTTAAGTACCAAGTTTGAGTAGCGTCTCAGACAGATGAAACCAAACAACAAAAAGAAAATAACAAAAAGAAAACCATACAGAAACATCCTAAAATTTTTTGAAGAGTAAATGGGATTCTAAACCAGGGTATGCATGCTATGACAGATTACAGGCTGATCATGAGGGTTAATCTAGAGAAGTTTTTTTCATGTGTATGTCATTCCTAGAGCTTGAACTCAGGGCCTGGGCACTGTCTCTTAGCTTTTGTGGCTCTATCACACGAGCCACAGCTCCACTTCAGACATTTTTTCTTTTTTTTTAGTAGGTAGCTGGAGATAAGAGTCTTAAGGACTTCCTTGCCCAGGTTAGCGTTGAATGGCAATCCTCAAATCTAGCCTCCTGAGTAGGTAGGATTACAAGTGTGAGCCACCAGTACCCGACCACTTTGTATTTTATAGTCCAGACTTACTTCTGTGCTATAAACATACAGATTTAATTATTTCCCTTTATCAGTTTCAGAATAATGAATTGGTACTGCAGTAACCTCAAACGTGGCCAACGATACGTGTTTTTGCTTTCGTAAATTTAGGCACTTGTGCAGCTAATGTATGGATTTTATAAAGGTGATACTTCAAATGATCATAGTCACTATTTTTCTTAAAAGATGATGTACAGAAGGGCTATAATTACATAAGTCAGCTAATGAGTACATTTCTTTTTGGACAAAGTCATTCTCTCCCAGTTTTTCCCTCTCATCCCCACCCACAAGTTGTATTGTTCATTTTCAACATAGTGTCCAGTGAGTACAATGGTACTACATTTGTTTACCCTTTGAATCTTTTTCTTTTTCTTTTCAAAGCAGTATTGGTGTTTGAACCCAGGGCCTCTTTGCATGCTAGGCAACAGCTGTACCACTTGGCCCTTTTTGCTTTAGTTATGTTTCAGATATAGTCTTATGTTTTAGCCCAGACTGGCCTGGGTACAGTCCTCTTCCTCCTTTTATTTTTTTTCCTTCTGGTACCAGGGCTCAAACTGTTAAACTTAGGACCTCGAACTTACTAGGCAGGGGCGGTTCCACTTGAGACATACCTTGACTATTTTTTACTTTATTTTTTAAAGAGGGTTTTATGTTTTCACCAGCACTGGCCTGAGTTGCAATTTTTATCATCCTCTGCCCCCACCCCACCCTGCTCCTGGGTGCTAGGGTTTAAACTTTTAAACTTAGAGGCCTTGGGGATGGGAAGGTGGCTCAGTGGTAGAGCACTTGCCTTGCATGCATGAGGTCCTGGGTTTGATTCCTTAGCACCACATAAGCAAAAAGAAAAAAGCTGGAAGTGGCGCTATGGCTCAAATGGTAGAGCACTAGCCTTGAGCTGAAGAGCTGAGGGACAGTGCCCAGGCCCAGAGTTCAGGCCCCAAGACTGGACCAAAAAACAAAAAACAACTTAGAGGCCTTGAGCTTAGCAGGTTTGCTTGCTGAGCTGGTGTTCTACCACTTGAGCCATTTCTCCAGACAAGCTTTGCATTTTCCTGTCTAAGACTTAAGAGTCACCATATTTCCATGGGAAAGAATCTGGCATTTTAAATGTGAAAAAAAATCCCCTTATCCTTAGGATACCCATTTTCTTTCTCCTTCCTTCCTTCTTTCCTTTCTCCCTTTTTTTTTTTTGTTAGTACTAGGGCTTGCAACTCAGGGCTTAGACACTGTCCCTGAGCTGCTTTTGTTCAAGGCTAGTATGTTAACACTTTGAGCCATAGCTCCATTTCTGACTATTTTGGTGCTGGAGATAAGAGTCTTACAGAGTTTACTGCCCAGGTTGGCTTTGAATGACGATCCTCAGCCTCCTGAGTAACTAGGAATACAGGCGTGAGCCACCAGCACCCAGCTTAGGATACCCAGTTTCTAGAAACAAAAACATCCCCCACACTGTAGCATCCCCCAAACTGTATTCCATGTCCTTCCCAGCTCTTCCAAAACCAGCTGTTCTCTCCCAATTTGGGATATTGGGCTCCCTGCTTGCTTTGATCCTGAATACCATCCTTATTGCTCTGACTCTGAATACTGTCCTTTACTTTTTTAACTCAAGACTAGTGCTCTACCACTTGACTCACAGCTCCATTAGCTTTTTGCTGGCTAATTGGATATGAGTCTTCCATGCTTTTCTTCCGTGGACATTGCTTTGAATTGTGATCCTTAGATCTTAGCTTCCCAAGTAGTTAGGATTACAAACATGAGCCACTGGCACCCAGCTTAAGGATTTATTTATGTGTCAGCTTCTCTCCTTGAGATTCACAAACATACCTGACACATCGCTAGCTGATGTTGAGCTTTCTCTTTTGTGGCTGCTTCCCAAGCTTGTCAACCTTGTTCTCAGCTTTTGCTCTGGCCTCTGCTTAAATGCTTCATGGAGCCCCAAAGAACACTTACTGAGCATCTACTATATCAATTGTGCTTTACGGATTTCAATTAATTACAACCATCAAAGCACATATTATCTCTATTACATTGATGAGTAAGAGGAAACTCACACAGTGGCTGAAGGTCCTAAGGCCAGAGAGTGGTTGAGCAGGATTCCTAGAGCCCAAGATTTCTCCTCTACATCACTGTCTACCAAATATGGTCCATGATCTACCCATCCATCCACAGAATCCCTTAAATAGCTCATTAAAATGAATGTTCCCGCCTTCCATCTTAAAACCCACTGAGTCAGAATCTCAGGGAGATGAGGGATGGAAAACTGAATTCTAATCAGCTTTCCCAGTGTGATTTAAACAGCTCTTTTTTTTTAATAGGAGGAACATACAATAAAACATTAAATCATTCATAACGTCTTAGTCAAAGGCAAGCAAGCACTCTACCCCAGCTCCCAGTTGCTCAGTTCTCTGGATTCCCAGTGTTGCCCAGAGGCAGGCAGTCACTTTTCCTGGGGTAACTTGCCCACTTAGGCTTGTCTGTACTTAGGGGACAGGCCTCTAGAATTCAGGGCCCAATTGGAGGTGATACCACCGTTCAAGGACAAATGTCCCCGGAAGGAGTCTCACCAGGAAAAAGATAGCAGGCACTTCTGCTCAGCCCTTCGAGGATCTTTGTGGCTGCTCCATTTCAGCGGCCACTTCGTGTAGGAAACAGTTCCCGTACAGCTCATTTTGACATAAAGCAAAGATCAGCATGGACATTGGAGGATGACCCAAGCGGAGACGAAACAGGTCTAAGCTGGAAGGGGCCAGGCAAAAGCCAACATACAACCTTTCAACTTGAAGTGCTGGTCACGAGCTGCTGGAGAGGGGTAACCTGGTCCCTCAATACCAGTTAGTGCTTCGCCTCGGCAGAGCCCAGCTCCGCCTTGGGAATCCCCAGGAGGGACTTCTCGCCAAGAAAAAGGCGCGAAATGTGACAGGTGTCCCTCACTTTTTAGATGCTTTCCGTGGACGAAAACGCGCATGCTTCATAAAACTCTTCACATTTCCCATCAGCGACCCCGACGGCGAAGCGTCCTGGCACAGACGGCAGGCCAGGTGGCTCGGGAGTGGCTTCCTCCCACCCGCTCCCGCTCCTGGTCACTGCAGGGACCCCCCACAGCTCTGATTTATGGGGGGCATAGGGCAACTTCTCCAGCTTTAAGCCCCACCGAGCTGGGCCCCGAAGCTTCGGACGTACGTGGTGGGGTTTGGGTGCTGCACTTGCTGCGCCTTCTTTCTTGGGTTGGGGGAGGGCTGCGAACCCACTCCAGCAGAGGGGGGGGAGGGCCGGGTGAGGGGGAGGGAGGGAGGGACACTCTGCGGACAGAGAACCATTCATCATTGTTCCCCCAGCGCCTGGCACGGGTGGTGGCCTGGTGTGCGCGGTCCGCTCCGGGTCTCCCGCCCAGGTCTGGGTCCACCGGTGCGTTTCCAGGGATAAAAGTCAGATCTGCGGCCGGGGGTGGGGGCACGGGAGCCGCACGCGGGAGGCAGAGGGGCACTGTGCGCTTCCCCGCCCCGCGCCTGGAGCACGTGACTGCCCTGCCCGCCGCGCCCCGGCCACGCCCACAAACAGCACCCGCAGCCGCCCGTGACCACGCCCCCACGCAGAGCCCCGCCCCCGACCACGCCTACAAAGCCACACTCGC